GCCTCTGCCTCCCGAGTGCTGGGATTAAAGGCGTGCTCCACCACGCCTGGCCCAGACTAACCCATTTTTAAAAAATTTTATTTTTTTAAAAAATATTTTATTTATTATTTTTGTTTTATGTGTATGAGTGTATTGCCTGCATGTATGTGAGTACACCTGTATCGTGCAATGCTGCCACGGAGGTCAAAGAGGGCTTCGGATTCCCCCATTTCCCCCCTTTCTCCCTTACTAATACGCTTATCCTACGGTCCTACCTCCCTTGAGCTCCTTCTTTCCCTTTCTCCCCTAGGTTCCTTGTATACCCTTCCCTCCCCCCCCTTTAAACTAATCAAATTTTTATCCATATCTCCCTTCTTAAGGTCTGTTGCCTACTATTCTTCTCCTTCAGGTTATTTCTTTTCCTTTACCTCACTGTTTCCTTACCCTTGTCCTGGTTCCTGCAGTTATGTCTGTTTGCATACTCACTTATCAGGATTTGGTTCTAGGATCCACATATGAGGGAGAACATAAATCTATTTTTTTTCTGAGTCTGTGTTACTTCACTTAGTATAACATGTTCTAGTTCCATCTATTTACCTGCAAATTTCATGATTTCATCTTTCTTTACTGCTGAGTAAAACTCCATCGTATAAATGAACCACATTTTCATTATCCACTCATCAATCAAGGGACACTTAGGTTGCTTCCGTCTCTTAGCTATTGTGAAAAGGCAGCAACAAACATGGATGGTACAAGTGTCTCTGCAATAGGCATGAGTTCTTTGGGTATATGCCAAGGAGTGGTATAACTGGGTCAAATGGTAGGTTCATTTGTAGCTTTTTAAGAGTTTTCCACACTGCTTTCCATAGGGGTTGAACCAGTTTGTAGCCCCACCAGCAGTGGATGAGTGTTCCCCTTTCCCCACATCCCCTCCAACACTTGGCATCATTTGTTCTCTTGATCTTAGCCAGTCTGACTGGGGTAAGGTGAAATCTTAAAGTGGTTTTAATTTGCATTTCCCTGATTATTAGTGATGTTGAACATCTTCTAAGATGTTTCATAGCCATCTTTACTTCTTCTTTTGCAAACGTTCTGTTCAGCTCCTTAGCCCATCTTTCAACTGGGTTGCTTCTTGTTTGGGGTCTCTGTTTTTTAAGTTCGTTATATATTCTGGTAATTAAACCTCTATCAGATGTATCGCTGGTGAAGATTTTCTCCCATTCTGTGGGTTTTCTGTTTGTTTCCTTGGTTGTCTCCTTTGATGTACAGAAGCTTTTTAGTTTAATGAGGTCCCACTTGTTAATTCTTGCCCTTGTTTCCTGGGCT